AATAGTAGGTAGGTAGATGATAGATAGATAGATAGATAGATAGATAGGTGATAGGAGTTAGTACTTCTCTCCTAACAGGGAACATTGGAGAGGAACCAAGGTTTCAACAAGGTTGTTAAGATTAACTACAGATCAACTTCATCTTAAAACGGGACAGGAGGGAGTGTCAGTGAGGATGATATTGGTGATAACAGTAATGACAATAACTAATATTTATCCAGGCCTTGTTTTATACCTTGTACTGTGCTTTTTTAAAGTTTATCTTTATTGTTGAAAGCATTACAGATGTTTCTCTTTTTCACCCCATTCACCCCCTCCACCTAGCTCCCAACCCTCCCCCCCAGGCTTCACCACACTATTGTCTGAGCCATGGGTTATGCATATGTTCTTTGTTTAATCTCCTCCCACTCCCTCCCTTCCCTCTGAGATTCGTCATTCTGCTCCATGCTTTATGTTTCTGGATCTATTTTGTTCGTCAGTTTATTTTGTTCATTAGATTCCACATATAAGTGAGATTATGTGATACCTGTCTTTCTCTGACTGGCTTATTTCAATTTGCATAATAGTCTCCAGTGCTAAGGTTTTTGAATGTATCACCTTACTTAATTCTTTTAACAATCTCATTGTTCCTGTGCATAAAGAGAAATTGTATGGAAAAAGATTAAGTATTTGCTCAAGTTTTGTAGCTGTATGAGCTGGAACTGAGGGTAGAAAAAGGGCAAGCATTACTTCAGAGCCTTTCTGTTTACTTTGTGCGTCTGGAAATGTGCGCAGGGACCTAAAAGTCACCTATCCAGCCTCCCTTGGCCGTTTATCCCATCTTCCCCAACGGCTAACACATGTTTTATGACCAAACACCCTCCGCAAGTCTCAGTGTATGGAATAGACTTCTTGAAAAGTGTTTTTTTCTAGTTCCCAGAATTGTTCAAACATGAATTAGACCACTTATTTCCAACTATTCTTTTCAACCAGACCACAGCATGGTTGACTAGGGGTCTTAAACTAATTCAGATTTATCTGTGGTATGTTTGAAATAACTATGATTATTGTTTGCCCAGATGTGGCCACTGCGGTAGTACACACACAAATTCTTTTGCAGAGGCACAATCAAGTAATATCAGTAAAAGTTACCTGCTCTGATTGGCCCTCTGCACCTCCAACACCACCCCCACTGCACGTCTGCAGTTGAACACCAGTGGGCTGCAACAGTGACTCGCAACCTTGTTTGATTATATTTCCCTACTAGCTAGAAAGGTACTAGCTACACTACCAAGGTGTGTGTATTTCTCGATTTACCAATTATTTAATAATTATAAGCACTATTGAAAGCTTACTATATGCCAGGCTCTATTCTAAGAAGCGTGTAAGTGTGACTTACAACACTTCATAGCAGCTCTGTGAAGTAGGTATTGTTATTATTAACACCATTGAAAGATGAGGAAATGGAGACATTAAATGTTTAAAAATTTGCCCTAGTGAAAAATGTAACTAGCAGGTGACTGGTCCAAGCTTGAAGCCAGGTGGTCTCATGGACTATGGATATCATAGCCACCTCTATGTGTGTTACTCTACTAATACATTATATTCTTTATGAGATAAATGAAAACTAGAAGTTGTAAAAGAATGAGATACACATTGGTAATAATTTACTGAATAAATGAATAAAATATTTCTCTGGGATGAGCAATGTAGGGATTTCAAGCACCCAGGCAAGCCCACAGAAAAAATAACATCGGACAAGGAAGCTTTTCTTAGTCACATTCGAAGGTAAACATACCTTAAAGTCTACTGCAGGTTTCCTACCTAATGAGGAGCGGAAAGTTCAACAAGTAACCAAGTGCTTTGTACCATTGACAATAGAAATTATGCAAGTCCAAAATAACCCTCCCTTTTGCTCCATAAATCATTTGTCTTCCAGATAAGCTTCCACTTTACCTGGTCACTGGCTTTAGGGTCCTTAAATCTTACCAAACAATGGGAAACACTAGAGCAGTGATGGCGAACCTATGACACGTGTGTCAGAGGTGACACGGCAAACTCATTTTTTGGGTTGATTTTTCTTTGTTAAATGGCATTTAAATATATAAAATAAATATCAAAAATATACATCTTTGTTTTACTATGGTTGCAAATATCAAAAAATTTCTATATGTGACACGGCACCAGAGTTAAGTTAGGGTTTTTCAAAATGCTGACACGCCGAGCTCAAAAGGTTCGCCATCACTGCACTAGAGCACACACTGGGTGATTGACTTGGTGTGTTAAATGATCACTACTGTTTGTCCAAGTGTGGTCACTAAGGTGGTCGACACCTGCTCAGAAATGTCTGTGTAGGGGGTTTGCAGGGGCTGCACCTGGTTGAAAGGGAGCACTGGCAGCTCTGGGGCTTGTTGAGAACTTAGCTTTGGGTGCACTTTACATAAGACTGACCCACCACCCATTTTCTGCCTCCAAACATGGAGGAGCTGATAGAGATCAAACCGCACCTTGACAACTGAGCATGATTGAAATTCTGAATACTCTGAGTACTGATGAAATATACCATAGAGAGGAATTTTTATTTTCAACATATATCAGTATGGTATATTTATTTTTATTTTTATTTTTAGAGAGAGTGGAAGGGAAGGAAACGGACAGGGGCCAGGGTCAGGGATGGGAATTGAATCTGCAATCCAGGTACACACCCTTGACCAGGAATCGAACCCACAACCCTTTGGTGCCCAGGCTGATGCTCCAACCACTGAGCACACCGGCTAAGACAGTATGGCATATTTTTTATTTGCCATAATTGTAGCTGCTTTTAAGCCAATTATAAGTGCCCATTTTTACTTACACAGAAAATACACAACCTGGAAATGTAGAATCTTTTATTGTTTAAGGTGTCACTCTGCAAAGATGGATCTCTTTTAAGCTCCGGAGTCCATAGGAGATAGATATTTAAGTAAGATGAGCAGGCGACAATGCAATTTACGAGCTGAAGGAGTAAGAAGGACGCTGAGTCAGGTTTTGTTAAACTAATCTTATGGCTGCCGAGGATGGCATGTCAGATATTTCTTTCATTTTAAATACCAACCCATTTCTATAAATCATTTTTATAATGTTAAATACATTATACAGGTACGAGACCAGTAGAGAGTGTGCCTAAATGTGTCAGACACATTCTTTTGCTTCACTACATACCGTTTCTCTTTCATTTGCCAAAGATGTATTTATCCGATTATTTATATGGGCTGATCCACGTTTTAGTTTTATTCATGGAGTTTTGTTTATTGCTGCTATTATACTTATTTGCTTCTTCCTTGCACATTCAGATTCAAACCATGTGAAATATCATCCGAGTGTCTCTCCCTTCTCTCTTGCACCAAAAGGAATCTCCTTTTGTAACAACATTTGTCAATGAGAAATACATTTGTCAGTGAGAAAAAAATACACAGGGTGTATTTAGGGCTATTTAGCATAAAACTTCCATCTGAAGCAGCTTTATTGTATAAGATAATGTGTTCTACTTCAGGATGTTTAAGGTTGAGTTTCTTTAGTGTGTGAATGCTATTCTATTTTCTTTCCTCCCCCTACTCCCCCTCCCTGTTTAACAGCAGACAAACCCAGGGAGCCCTGAATGAATCCGATGATCCTGAAACAGGCTGTCTATCTGATAACAAGCCAACTTCTCGACACTTCTATCCTGTCGCCTTGCTGCTTGTCAGCTCACACCTGCTAGTCGTGTGGCTTATCTTAAGTCTTGCATTACTATTAGCCAAATACCAATAAGTTTTACTGTTGTATTCCTTTCTTTTCTACAAATGATAATGGACTTTAAATTATGGGGACAATGCTGTAATATTTCTACATTTTAAGATCCAGAGAATTTAAAACAGATGTTTGAATTGTGTTTTCTTTGTTTTTTCCTAAAATCTAAAGAAGAAGTACTATGCATTAAGTGAATTGTTTTGCTCTTTTGTTCATGGAGAAGTGTTTCCCCCTGTTCACTAGCTCAAGAAGAATTTTAAAATTACTGTCTTTGGAATAAGACACAGAACAGAATCCTGAAAGCTTGAAGGTCTACACCTCCTGTTCCTCTTCCCGTTAAATTTATCAAAGAAATTAAGACTGAATTTGCACAACACACTGAAACTCTGAGACAAGTCCTAGACATGTGGGAGGTTCCGGACATGATTTCCACTGTGCTAAAATCGTTGCCATCAGCTGGCAGAACCTTCTGTTTGATTTCTTAACTTGTTTGTTTTGTCATTTCTTTGCTGCAATTAACCCCCTTCTGTCAAGTAACTCTGAAGAAAATGGCTATTTCTGTTTTGTAATTAAATTAACCTGTTTGTAACTATGGTTTGGGTTGATGTGGCTTGGACAGTAGTTTTCTATTCTTTTTAACGAGGTCTTGTCTGTGTCTTGATGCCCCGTTTCCGCACCTGTGACTTTGTACTGTCTGTGCATAGCACTTCTCCTCTAAAAAGTGGAGACTCGGACCAGGCTGTTCCAGAAGCCATTTTTCTCGTCGTTGCACAGTTAAAATAATGAAGTAAAATAGAGATTGAACTTTCCTTTAAAAATCTATAGGGCCAGACTTAATCAATTAAATGCCTTATTCCTAGAACCTGTATCCTTAGGGCTACATAGAGATTTTAATGTGTTTTAAAGAAATTAATTTGTGGAAGAGTTATTAAAAAGGCAGATATATTTATGAGATTAAAGTGAAGCTGTATTGTGGAGCAAATTATATTTAAAGAGTTTATTAAACCTTAAATACCTGTTAAGAGCAAAGAGACTTTAATCATCTCTTTTCCGAGGGCAATAATGGTATTGGGCCTGGCCTAGGATTTAATTTTGTAAGATGTATCATCATTTGTGAGAAACAAACAAAAAACAAATGTAGAGTTGAATCTTTGTTATTTTTACTCGGACTGTTGCTGCAACTCTACATTGAACAAATAAAGCATATTTATTTATTCTGTTTCATGAAGTTGTACTTTTTCCCCTTTTACCAGAGAAGGATGCCGCATAGAGAATGTACTGAAGAATATCAAATGCAGAAAGTATGCTTTCAACATGCTACAGCTGATGGCTTTCCCCAAGTACTACAGACCTCCAGAGGGGACTTATGGAAAAGCTGACACCTAAGTTTTCCAACATGTAAATAAACAGGAACACAAACACGCTTCAGTTGGATACTCTCTACTTTTTCGTTTTTGTTTTATTGTCGTGAATTTGTGGAGGGCGATCATCAGGGATGTTTGCCCAAATCTAGGAATTACTTGAATTACAGTTATCAGCATATTACTCTGAAAGAGATTCATTTTTTTAAAATCTTACATAATATTGTCCTTTCCAGTTCTAAGCTTCTATGTGTTGATTCTTGCTGATTGAGATCAGCTCAGAACGTGTAACTTTCATTCATGGGGTATTTAATGAAAGACATTCTGAGGTAACAGGTGCCATGGGGGACTAGCGGTGACTCGGAGAGCAGAGCTGTCCCTCCACAATGAAGCTAGGAGAGTGTGACTGGGAGAGGGACTTTGTGAAATGCCCCAGATTTTCTCACACATACTCTTAGAGCCCATTTTGGAGGTTTAAAACATATTTTTCTAGTGATTTAAGATTGGGTAGAGTTAACTCATGATCCTGGTTACAGAACAATTTACAGGTATGCCTGTACTTTGTCACCCAGTAGAGATGTGACTATTCCTCAAACAGGTGGATGGACAGTGTTAGTAAAGCAGTGAAAATACTTTCCAAAAACATGGTGTCTTTTCAAAGCTCTGGCTTGGGATATATGGCCCTGTTATAAAAGTAGCAGGAGAGGAAGTTGAATTGGATAACGGACAAAATACCACGAGGAACAGAAACTGCAAGGAAACTAAAGACGGTCAGCCTGTTGATGTCCTGAGTGAAAATCCCCATTGGCCTGAACTTTATGTGGTCAAGTTCATGACACTCAAGAAAATGTCTCTGAGATGTTTTCCAGCAGTCATCTTGGTGCAGAATATAGATGGTGTCAGTATGCATTACCTGGCATAGAATAGTATATGTGAATAAACCTTCTAACATATATGCAACCATAACTAATGATAAACCAAAGCAATTATTTCTGTTAACCTGAATTTCAAATTTGTTCTTAACTCAGTAAAATAACACCATAAATTGTCTAAAATTTTAAATTAGAATCTGCCTTAGAGATCATTTTGTGTAACACCTTCATAAATGGGTAAATGAAAGCACAGGAAAGTTATACCCCCAATTACCCAGCTAGATAATTTTAGAACCATGATTACAATCTTTTCCTACCGCCCTTCCCTATGGCTTATCTCTTCTCCAAGTTGCCATGCCAAATATCCATGAAAATTATAGGTGAGTTCTAGTTAGTTAAATAGAAATTGACATCTATTACTGGAATTAAAACTTAGATTACAACACTGAATAAATGAAACCTATTTTCTCTAAATTTTAAGAATTTATTATTTTTCCTTTCTCATCAGAGGAGCATGACATTGATAGCATAAATCACCTTCAGAAATTCCACAGGCTTGTTACATAGACATCTCTTAGCTTGGACCACATTCAGTGGATGATATTGTGGGGGTTTCCATAGCTAATGTGATAGCTCCTTGACTAAGACACTAATTGAAATAAGGATTCCAAACAGATCTCTAGGTTCATAGGTTTTTCAAATTAATAAAAATTTTTACATAATTCTTTGGGGCTTTTTAATACTAGAATTATCAATCTACTATTTTAACTAATGGCTATGGGCGTTATATATGAGGTGGTTGCCAAACTACTTACAGCCTTTTTAATAAAAGAGGCTGCGTGCTGTGGATCCATTCATGGATAAATTTATCTTAGTGTTATTTTTTTATACCTCATTCTCCATTTCAGGAATTACATATAATCTTTGACTTGTTCAAAATCTTTGACTTGTTTCAAATTTCATTTGAAAATGGTAGGATTTGTGGTTTTCATTGTCCCATTGGATTTAAGGTAAAAAGGTTGAGTCCTCCTTCAGTAAATCAAGGGGCAGTCTCAGAGACTGACTTATCATCCTATAAATACTCTTATAACAAGAATTTTTATTTGCATTTGTAAAAATGAAAACTCTCAACTCAAGTGTGGAAAACATATGTAACTAGAAAGCCAATAATAGTTGTTGTTGTTGTTGTTTGGAGGGGGGGACATTTCAAGTATTTTCTTCTTTTATAATACGTAATAATATAGATGCTTCAAAAGGTAGAAGTTACTGTACTACAAATGCAGATGAGTTTTTGTTTATTATGAACATAGTCATCTGAATTTCCCTACAGGAAGCCAATATTTGTACATACTTTTAAACATGGATTTCATCAAGGAAATTCATGTTTCATACCAACAACAATATTGCCCCTTTTCTAAGATATATTCCAAGTATCCTTGGAAAACCACTTCATTATTTCTTAAATTATTAAGGTTTTCTAAATCAAAGAGCCAAAGTTAAACAGAAAGTTTTCAAATCTCCTTTGTACAGACACAGCCTCAGTCATTCTTTTCTATCTACATTTTCATTTAAAGATACATGCACTAGCAGCCTGATTTTAGGAAATCATGTCAAGCCAGAAAATGAACCAAGAAAATGAAATTTTCAAACAAGATAAATTTTTGCTCAGAAATATTTCCCCTCTAATATAATCAAATTTAGATATCAATTCCATATTCACTATTGACAGAGTCCTACAGAAAACATAGTTAAAAAAAAGGGAAGGTGAAATCCTGATTATGTTTGATCCAGTGACCAAAGACCCAGGGCCCGGAAGTGTTCCACCGAGCAGTTGATCATAAAAGTTTGAAATAATGTTTTGAAGCAGCCCCACCCTTAGGGCTCATTTGTTTCTCATGTGGTTCTTTGCTTCTTGTAAATATTGCCATGAGTGTTTCAAGAGTCTGCCAAATCCTTTGATGTAAATATTTTGGTCAGTCTGGTTATCTGGTGAGTCAGAACACTTGCTCCTTTGATGCAGCTGACAAATTATACTGAAATGACCAAATGCCGTTACAGCACTATGCCACGTACCTAACTGCCAGTGCTTACTTATCAGAGTAACTGAACGGTCTTGAAAAGCTAGCATCTGCATGGACGATACTTCCTTTCTTTCCCTCAACGAAAATGGCATTTTGCATAAAATAAGACTCAAGATGGAAAAGAAAAAAATTTGTCTAGACTGATGATTTTCTTCCTCAGCAAGTCAAACCCCTCCCCATGTAGAGTTTGATATGTGCCCAGAAGAGGCTGTTCCAGTGGTTGTGCTGGAACTGGCTCGCGCTAACTCATGACAGTGGATCATTATATTTTCAGGAATTTTATGTTAGTTGTTAAAAACAACCATCATTAAATATTAAATTATAAAACAAAATGGAATAAATGTTATTATAAACAAAGGTAATAGTCAAAACTACCACTTCCTAATTATTTTACTACAGTTTTCAATTTATCTCTACTCTTGAGGATATGTCAATTGTACCTGCAGTTGAAATGCTCTACAGTATTATAGAGATCTACTGTGCACCTCCTCCTGGCTCCATGTTCAGTAACATCACATCGGTAGCTTGAAATTGACCACAGTGGGAGTATTTACCCCAAAGAAATATCCAAATGCTACAAATCATGGCTTTTGATTCCTGGAAATCCCATTGTTAAGTATTTACTGGCACACAATTGAATGCCACCATCACTTTTTCTCTGGAAAATGAATAATTGGAAACAGGATAACATTATTAAAATGATATTAAATGCAGTCATTCATCTTCAGATGGCTGCAATTTTGTTTTAGTTTTTGACCTCTCTGAAGATTCTGATTAGGGTCTCAGTAACATTTGATATTTATATTTTATTCATAATTAAATTGTTTCATCAGGGAGATGTGTTTAAAACATATCTCTCTATGGTGTTTGGCAAGGGAAATCTTGGCAATGCAGCCTCGGTGTGAGCAATAAGAACTCCAGGTTAAATTCAGGGAAATGTTAGCCTAATTAGAGTATCAGTGAAAATGTGCTTCAGCACCAATTTTTAAGTTTATAATTTTAGCATTTGCGAAAAGCAGGAAAAAATAGTGGCACATTACTGTGCCCAGATTCTAATAAATACAGCTCAACTGAAACCCAAACTATTGATTTAACTCTGGCATGATGCTAAGTCACCACAGATGTTTTAGGTGTTTGATTTCCAAATAGGATGATGTATCAGTAGTTAAGTTTCATATTCAGGGCGCCCTGTGTAATCTTGTAGGAAATCTATTAACTTTTATCACAGATTTAAGAAACTGATCTGAGACAAGCTTTAATCAGCAATTACCAAGGGAAGCAAACTTATTGAACTCAAGTTGTCCTTAAGAGCTGGAGGCTTTACAAATTATGCATTACTGAAGAGAATGATTTGCTCAGAATGGTGTCACTGATTGAAAATTTTAGTGTGAATTCACGTTCACTTAGCCTGCCCGTAATCTTCAAAGTCTATGCTTCTCCCCCCGCCCCATATTTATGTTTCATTGCTATATAAAGAAAGTTCTGACATATAACTTTGTTCTTTTTGGCGATTTTAAGTCAGAACTTTCCAAGCAGATACTCCCTTTAGCAAAAACTGTCTTTCAGAACAGGAAAATAAAATTAATGTTTTAGATTTTGCAAACCAATTAGGTACAGAGTTAAGATATGGAACTTTGGATTTTATTTCTAGCCAAGTAAGAGAAAGCCTAAAGCATTTCTGATATCAAAGAAGCAAATCATATCTGGCTACTATAACAAGGAAGTAGGAAAACATTGTAAGGTAATAATAATCCCCAAAAAGTACATGCAATAAGTTCTCCTGAGCTTGAACTTTTATAGATTACATGAATATTTAGAATTTTAAATTAAAAACAGAAAATAAGACTCACAATTAAAAAGAGTACCCAGAGAGAATGAATATTAAGGGAGAGAAGACCTAATTCAAGTGATGTTGCCTGATAAACCGTATTTATGTAAGTAAACGGACTTATTTAAGATGTTGCATTTTCACACTCATAGTATGAATACATTCACAATTTTCTTAAAACCATCTAAATTATTCCAAAGGACCCAATCCAACAGTCTATCTTTAATGATGACTCGTTGCAGTACTATTAAGTAGCAAGCAATATTGACCCAACTATTGGCAAGATTGCTATATTATCTATATAGTTCTGTGATGCTTTTATATCACTTTCAATTTTTAAAAATATTTCACATCAAAGAACTTTCAAACTTTTAAAAGGCACACCCCATG